TTTTACAAATCACCATCATGATGTCGTTATTTCAGCCGTTTATTGATATTAAATCACAGCAACATTTGATTATTTTGGGCTCATACCGCAGTTGCAAGCCAGGGCAAATATTCACCTCAAATACAAATGATCCTGCAGGTAAACCAGCACGAGTAACGTAGGACGAATATTTGCTTTGCTTTTGGTGGAAACGCAACATTACGGACTAAAGATTATAAATAAAGATTATAAATAATTGAGGATTGGACACTTTTTTGGACTTTATGACCGCTTCAAAGGTATAAAGCTTAAACATTTATATTTGTGTAGGCGATCTAAGTAGCTTAGAACTCGCTCAAGAAGTTTTAAAAACTGGCAAGCTGTGGTTACTTCATTCAAAAATGACGCACTGGACTCTAGTGGGTGCTTGCTGCTCGGCTGAGACCTGAGCGATCACTGACCTGTCTGAGGACAACCGCAGTCCAGTAATAATAATATCATTAATTAATAAAATGTGTGCAGGTGGCCACTTTGTCCAGCGATTGTAATTTCTCTCTCTGGCGCTGAGAAGGTCGAGGCTTCATATTCCAAAGCAAAAATGTTTCATTTTTTTAATTAAAAGAATTTTTGGGATTGTTTGTACGGTGAGCTGTCGAAGTTGCTGAACGTGCACAATGTATTTAACTACCAGCAGTTTTCATTCACAGGCAGAATATGTCATTGCTTTTGTTGTTTATTTAATTTGATGGAATTGTTTCAGCTGTTTTTGAGTCAGCTGATACACACACATATATAGTGCTATTCAATGCAGAACGGTAGTTGCTGAGAAGGGTAAAGCAGGTAAAGAACCTCTTGATTAGCTTTTGGTTTCAGTTTATGACCATAGAAATCTATTTTCCAGATATAAAACTCGCCACAGAGGATGAAGCAGAAAATGAATCTGCAGGCAGTTTTATTAAGAAGGTTTCAGTAACAACGTAGCTCTGACTGTATTGTTTCAACCAGTAGGTTGATTTTTATAGAAAGAATCTGATTTGTTTCCTCAGAGGGTTTAAATCAAATATATTTGTGTCAGCGAAAAAGTAAAATGAATTCCTTTTTAAAAAGCAGGCGAGTAGAAGGTTTAAACAATAAAAAGACCCAGAAATCACTGATAATCACACACTGGAGATTCATCAGATGGCGACGCTGTTCTCGATGCCTTCGGGACAGAGGTACGGATACGGCAGCTCCAGTTGGCTGTTGCGCTCTGTGATGTCATCAGAAATAGCCTTGAGTTCAGCCTGCACCTTCTCCACCAGCCTGCGGTGTGCGTCGTCTCTGAACACTGCCTCCTTGTAGTGACACAGAGGAACCTGCAGGGAGAGACAGACACAAACACAGTTATCAGATTTATGTGTGCCCCTAGAGCTTTAATGAGATGAGTCTAAACTGACAATTTAAGACCAGTAAGATCAGTAAGAAGTTTATTCAACTGGCTCCTGGAGTTTCCCTCATCTCAGGGTTAACAAACTCGTTTGAGCGTGCTAATTATTGTTGTGAAAAAACCCAAGAAAATACACTTCTGATTTCTACAGAACCACCTCAGGATTAAGAAATTGGCCTTTTCCTTTTCAGATGTCATAATTAAAAAAAGCTTTATTGTAATATTCAGAAAAAGTACAGAAAAAATAGAAGTAGCAGAAGTATTGATTCTTCACTCCAGTTAAAGTGTAAAAGTACTCTCTGGTTTCTCCCGGCTGTGCTAAGCTAACTAAAACTTCAAACAGAGTCGACTCTCCCTCTCTGTCTGTGTTTATGTTTGGGTAGTCGTGCAAAGATGCTGATAAAAATTTTAATCAATAATTAAAGTAATGAGCCTGTTGTAAAAATGTAAGTAGTAGAAAGTTTTGTAAAAAAGTTGGGAGTAAAAGTAAAAAGTTATCAGAGAAGTAAATATTCAAGTAAAGTACAGACACCTGAAAGAACTACTTAAAACTACTCCCCCCCCTCTGTTGTAATAACAAGAAAAGGTTCAAATTTTATTAATCGTCACTATTTAAAGAGTATCTGAACTTTATTTTGATGAAACCCTCTGTATAACCTCTGTATAACCTCTGTTTCCGGGTATTTACTAGTGTTATTGATTCATTCAGGTCTAAATCTGGACATTTCAGTGCAAAGTAATTCAATTCTATATATTTTGCTATATAAATGCACAACGACCGCCCTCTTCTGGTTGAAACCCGCAAATGGAATAGCGAAATCGGTAGTATTTTTACTGCCTCGTTTCATTGATTTCAAGAGGAATCCATCCTGGCAGGCATTAATAATAACTACATAGAATCTATCCAATCTTGTCTGTGATGTTTGTTTTAGCTCATAGGGAGGTGTCACACTGTAAATAATTGTTTAAAAAAAAACGGTAGCAGCACGTTTAAGAAGATGGAAGCATGATGACGCTACCTGATTCAATTAGCTTTTTTCGCTCATGTAAATGTTATGTAGATAAATATAAGATCATTTATTGATCCTCAGAGGGGGAATGTAGGCTTATTTAAATGTTTAATGAGGTGCATCTGACGAGACAGGGTGGGCGGGTGGAGCCTCACAAAGTTGGTGGCAGGCTGAGACAGTAGAGTCAGCACCGTCAGGACGCGACAGCTTGAGTTCACGTCCGGCAGGAAGGACATGATGTCATCCTCCGTCACCGCGCCTTTGACCTGTGGAGGAGGACGCGACATGGAGGCCGGACAGTTCGGCATCCAGAGGGCAAAGTCCAGCTGGAGGACGCAGAGAAAGACACAGAGAGGACAATTAAAAAATAATTATTAAATTAACAATAATGTCTAAACACTGTAGGTGAATATTGTCAAAATGTCGAATAGAGATCAGCATGAAACCTCCCCAGTTGATTACTCTCATTAAGACAATTATCTTTTGCATTACAAGTTTTCTGCAACGCAGACAAACAATCTCTTGATCTGCTCTCTCTTCATGTCTGCTCTGTGCCAACATTAAGACTAAATCTAGACGTCCTGCAGGAGCTGCACCTGGGAGAAGTTGACGGCTGCGTGCAGAGCCGAACAGGAGAAGACGATCATGGTGACAAACTTGGACACTTGTGATTTGGTCTGGAATGACTGAGGGAAGCCTGAAGGATGACAGGAGGAGACAGCTTCATTATTCAGTTTATTGTCTTCATCAGGGGGACAGATTACAACCTCATCTGTCTCTCTTGCACACACCTGAGTCATGTGTGAATCCGTGTGTGTTGATGTCGGTGATCCAGAGTTGAAGCTCAGAGTCCTGTTGGACCTCATCGTCTCTGCTGTAGTACAAGTCCACCCAGCTGCACACAAACCTGCCACAGGAAACAACAGGACACAATGTCAATCAAACCATAGACGCTGCAGTTATTTGACATTCGTCTAGCAGGGAGCTGGTTGAGGTGCGTTTGTTTACCTGTGCAGCACGTCCCACACTCTCAGTGCGTCCTGGGCGTAGTAGCTCTGTGACAGCTTGTCCAAAGCGCGGTCCGCCAGGTCATCTGGGACACACAGAGAGTGATAATAAATCCTCTCCGACGCCCGGGAGAGGAGAATGGGTAACGTCTGCAGACCAGAGCCGATCCCCTGGAGGGACGAGACCAACAGGAGACCAGATAACTGCACCAGTTTCCACTGGTCCCTCTTTAAGAATTCTGTCAATGGTGATGTACCTTATCAAACACGCCGCCAGTGGCCAGCAGCGAGGCTCTGGCCTGTAAGTTGATCTGTAGGGACGACCGCACGTGTGGCATCAGCAGCTGTCGCAAAAACAGCCAATCAGAGCAAAGAAGAACAAAACACACTGAAGTTTGGTTGTGAGTTTCTTCCCATCATCAAACCAGTTCAGAGCTTTAACCTTCAGAGGCAGCTGGACTCATGGGAGGATCCATCTTTCCAGGATTCAAACCAAACCCACCAAATAAAAAGATGTGTCCCATACATCTTTCTTTCCCAAACTTTTTCCTGAAGAGACCCTTAGTGACATATTTTATGTATATTTCATATTATATTCACAGACGGTGTCACCATGGCGACCTGTGTGTTAAGGCCGCTATTTAAACGGCGTGTCGGTGGCATGGGTACCTGGTACAGTGGGTGCGGCTCCGGCAGCTGTCGCAGCGTGGCCACGCAGCACAGCTCGCCCATCATGTGAGTCCTGAGGTAGTGGGAGGCCAACTGGTGACACTGGAAGTCTGCACAGTGGACCCACATCTTAGCCAGCAGCCAATCACAGCCCCCGTCAGAGGGCAGGAAGACCGGGTTCTGAGGACCGGGTGTCTGCTGCAACTGGGGGGAGGGCAACTGACTGACTGACTGACTGACAGTGGTGGAATGTAACAAACTATAAAAAGTACATTTATTCAGGTAATTGAGTACAAATTTAAGGTACTTCCATTTTAAGCTACTTATATTTCGACTCCAATGAACCTCAGAGGGAAATATTTACTTCACTATATTTATCTGACAGTATCTTTAGTTACTTCATAAATTAGGAATTTAAGTACAAAACACAAGGAACTTGATGATACTATATGAATAATGTTTAATATGTACATCATACATTGTACATAAAACATATTAAACTATCCAACAGTATATAAAACAGTTCAAATCAGCTCCACCAAATACAACAGTAAAATGTTAATTACATATAAATACAGTAAAAATAATCAGTAAGTACTTTTACTTTTGATAGTGTATTTTACAGATAATTCATACTTTTACTTGTAATGGAGTATTTTGACTGTGTTGTATTGCTTCCTTTATTTAAAGCTCCTGCGAGTACCTTTCATTGTGATTCTGCTGCCCCCTGTGGACAAAAGCGGTAGTGTTTCTACCACTTTGTTTCATAGATTTCAAGGGGAACAACTGTATGGAAATATCTCTCTGATGGTTTATGTAGGTTATACAGAGACATCAGTATTAATCTGAGACTGTTTATATCTATCATTGAAGTACATCAGTAAAATACTGTAAACACTTACTTCCATCTATGAGTTCAATGAGTAATCACACTGCAGAATAATAGAATCAATAATCTGAATCAAGAGGAGCTCACCTGGATGGCGATGGGGAGCAGCTGTCCCTGCTGGTTCAGGTGGAGGAGGCACAGCGGCGCAGACAGATACGACTGCTTCCCGTTGATCATGTTGGCCGGAACGCCGTCCAAAACCTCGTAGTCCAGCAGGTAAACGGTCCCTTTCTGTCACATCAGAAAACATCGAGATGTAAGAAAGCGCACAGCTGGCGGCAGACAACAGCTGGAAGTTCACAGTATGGGGTGCACACCCACCTCTAACTCCAGCTCGAGGGAGGAGCCTTCGGGCAGGAAGGGGCGGAGCATGTCGGAGGTGACGGACAGGTTTGGAGGGAGGTGGCGGGTCTGCCGCAGCATCAGAGGGTTGCAGCCGTTCAGACACTGGTGGCCAAAATACCAGTCCTCCGTCCAGTGAGCCTTAACGAACCCTGAGACATTAAAGATAATCATTATAATGATCAATAAAATGTCAAACCATGACAGTAAAAGACCGCAAACTCTAAATAGGTTTCTGTCACAGTAAAATGCTGTGATATCTCATGGCAAAACGTTTATTCATATGCCATTTTAAAGGAATTTATACATAATAAAGTTGTTTTTTATATTACAGACTGTAAAATACACAGAATTTAAAACTTAAAACTCAACAGTACTAATGTCCTTTTACCGTAATAGTAGAAAATGGTTCTATTGTATGTATTGCGGTAAAGTTCTGACAACCACAGCTGACAGTTTTTTAGCCAGGTATTGGTCGATGCCGTTTATCTTAAAATGATTATCAGCCGACGAGCTATAAATCACATCCGAGCAATCTAATCTTTTACAGCTTTATTTAGGAAATCAAATTATGCTAAGAACAGTCACTCGAGCAATCGAGTGAACCTGTTAAATATCTGTCACTACACCAGGAAGGAGAGATAACAACCAGCAGCTCAATTAAAGAAGCACGTAGCAACATCCGAGCAACCACCTGGCAGTGCGCTCAACCATCATTTCGCTACGCAAACAAAAAGTAGTTCCTGTCAGTATGTTTCAGCTTCAGCCTCCACACTCAAAAGAAGATTCAGTTTGAATAGTTTCTCACTGGCAATGTCGTTCTCGTGTCCGCTGTGAGCGAAAACAGCCTCCAGCTCTGTGAAACTCGTCCAGGCCTCCACTCGGCCCATGAAGCCTTTCAGGTAGTGCAGGTTGGTGGCTGGACTGAGGACAAAGAAACAACATCTCCTCAGCACTCCATCACGCCCTCGGTCTGTTTCTGGTTCCTGAACCTACATTAAGTGTGTGACTTCACCTCTTGTGTGTGTAGCTGAGGTTCGGCCCGAGTTCAGACATTTTGTTCAGGTCAACGCACTGCGGAGTTCCCTCTATGAACTTACGCCATCTGAAATAAAAACACAAGTCAGTTTTACTTTTACAGTCCAGAATCACAAGAACAACTCCCCCAGCACAGAGCCACAGAGGAGGGATCCTCTCTCAGGACGGACAGACATGCAATAGAAATCGTATGCAGAATGACACCTGACACCTGGTAGTGAAAAGCAGGTACTGTAGCAAATTATCTATTTGTCACCAAAAACTCTAGACCCACGAGTGTAGAGGGGGCCTAACTACCGGCCACAATCATTGACCATATATACAGCGATCAGCCCTAACACAGTGAGCACTGCCAGTAACACTGATTATCTGGGTATCAGGGCTCCTGTCAGTGGGGGGGTATATCAGGCAGACAGTGAACAGAGTTGATGTGTTAGAAGCAGGAAAAATGGGCAGCGTGAGGATCTGATCCACTTTGACAAGAACCACATTGTGATGG